CCTCCCACACGCTCGCTTCATCTTCTTCCTGCCTTGGGTCAATAAGGCTCCTCTTCCACAATGCCCTTGCGTGTAGACTTGTACCTCAGCAACCTCTTGAGGATTCATTAAGTGCCATGTAGCCAGAGCATAAAAACAGGGATAAAAGTAGCAACAAGACAACAACAACAATGGCAGCTAGTCGGATCTGCAGACTAACCTGGGCAACAAGGGTGAAGAAAAGCTCAAGTGGCGAAAAGAAAAGGAACACTCAGAAGTTGGTTCCATTAAAGAAAGTCTGACGATCACTGAGCCTTTCTGCTAAGATCCTGCTTTAAACAGTGCACGGATGTGCTGCACAGAACGAAGAAAAAGGCCAGTTGGAGACACTAGTGCATGGGGGAAGCAGTACCAAATCGAACATGCCGTGATGCAGTGACTTCTGCTCATGTTTTCCAGACCTTAGAACAGGTAACATCGAACAAGAAAAGTCCTGACCTACATCTGTAACAGCTGTCACTCCTCCTCTGAGAAACTAAACACAACAGCACAAATACCCAATAGCTACTGAGGGCCAGGTTTTCCAAAGAACTCAGCTCCCAGTTAGGCATCAAAACAAAAGCGCTCAGTACTTTGGCTTTTGCCCCTTTTGGAAATCAGGCCGTAAGCGTCACGATAGGGAAAGCTGGAGCTGGACACCTTTGAAAATCTGGCCCATATTGTGGCGGTTTATTACTTGAAAATCTGGCCCGGTGTTTGTAGGCCCTATAGAAACACAACAGCATGCGGCCTCTGCTACGCAGCAGAAATGGAACAAGCCCAGGAATCAGAACTGTGGTCTTGTCTATTCTTCTGTTTCTAATGGTACTCAGAGGCACCAGGTAGGGTCAGTGCCCCCCTGTCTCTGTCCCAATGAGCTAACAAATCTAGTTTAAAACAAGACACAACGAGACAGTATCATAACCTGCTCCAGGGATGGCAGAGTGTTACAACGACCCCCTTACATAGTCTAAAACATTACAATGGTATTTTTAAAACAGGCTCATTCTACTTTTTTTGTTTAGCTTTTGTTTCCCTTTTTAATCATTGTTTATAGATCATTTTAAAATTCTATCTATTTCTGCCTAATATATTTTAATAGCTTCCCCTGACACCCCCACTTTTTGTAACTGGGGGCAGGAGAGTTGGGTGTGAGGGAAAGGCAGAGCTCAGGTCGGGAAGCACTGTGTAATCGAAAGAGGATAGAACACTAAATGTCAACAAAAAGTATCCGAGTGCAAGTGGAGGGGCCAAAGGTTTGATTGGAAGGCAACATGGTGTCATGTCACGGCCACTTTCCATGTCACGCAGAGAGGCCTTTGGGCCCCAGGGCTTTACTCCGGCAACTTTCATCAGCACTTTCAATTCACTCAAGAAAAACACAGGCCGATCAGCGGAAAATGGTACAGGCTGTCCAAGTGACACATCTTAAAAGAGATGTTCGCCCCGAGGACCTGGCTTCCCCAATGCTACAAGCGACAATCTGGAGAAACGAGTAAAGAGCATGTGCTGATAATGCCCCTGCAGCCGCTTTTAAATGGGCAATTGATTTTAATGACAGGGATCTGGCAGCAGCTGCTGTGCGAGGGCATGATTTGTGCAGCTACATCTGTACCACTACAGCCTTAGGACACGGTTCTGCAATCTTCCACTTGCGCTAGATCCCTTTGCTTCCAGTCACCTTTAGCAGAATGACTTTGTAAACTGCACCTCTTCTCAAGCCTTAAGAAAATTAAACACCCCTGTGAAGTTATTTGGGGGCAGGGAGTGAGAGACTTAATATACCAGAGTCCAAACGGGAAGTGCAGCTCGCGAGTTTCCAGTTTCACAGCTAAGTGGAAAGAGGCGTATATGAGAATGGAAGAACAAATTCAGACAAGGTAACTGGGCGGGCTTCTTTGCACAGGCAGCCATCAGCCGTCCCCAGTGCCTCCCAGGCTAGATTGTTGCAACAAAAACAAATCAAGGTCATTGAGGAAACAGTTAGGGAGCATTGCTGAGACAATGGAGCAATAAAAAGGGAATGAAGCATTATGGGCTAAATATTCTGTAATGGCCCCGCCTTCTCTCCTGGATCCCAGAAGTCTAGCCTTCTTAAATTCAGATACAGTTGAGCTAATGGGTTTGGACGGGCTGGCTGTTGGCAGGACTTCAGCAAGCTGTGTATCACACCACATCCCTGAATAGCTCTTCCTCAGCACCATTAGCCTTCCGGGCTCCTCGAATGACCATGTGATCTCCAAGACGAGACGTCGTCCCAATGCTGAGAAATGCTGAGTGTCTCCTACAAGGTGCTGTGTACACTCATCTCAGTGGCTTCAATGGGACTGCCTTGCGAGTTTCACCCTGGGCAGGACCGGGTCCAAAGAGAAGTGGTATTCCACAGGGAAAGAGTCATGCCACATGTCTCAGATCTGAGCGTTAATCACAGGAAGCTTCCCTCCCCTTATCAGTTCCTCCCTCCCCAAAACCCAAGAGCCACATGGTACAAAAGACATGAGAGAAGAAGATAATATCTCTCTCCCATCCAATCACCCACTTCCCCAGCAACTCCAGTGGAAAACTTCTTCTCACTTGATGTTTTTCCCTCTCTCTCTCTCACCCATGTCTTGTCAATGAATGCAACAGAATGAGTGAAGTCTACCGTTTGAGGGATCCTTTTTCACTTTTTACACTCTCTTTTTTAGTTTTCCTTTTCTACTTTGCAACCTTTAAAAACTTCTCCAACTTTTGAAAAGCTAGAGTGTCAAAACTCTGCTGTTCCAACTTTTCAAAAGTTAGGGATGTTTTTGAAAAGTCCCAGAGTGGCAGAGCTTCCGAGCTTCATTTTTTATTTGTTTGTTTGGGTTTTTTTGTTTTTCTTTACCTGCTCCATAACTTTTCCAAAAATGGAGAAATTTAGAAAACTTACAGGGGGGTGGGGGTGGGGAGGAGGGAAAAACTGACTCATGAACCATCCCCCTCTCCCTCCAAGACATGATTCATTTGATTGCACTCTGAGGAAGACAGAAAGGAAAGGGGATCCAGAAAATGCAAAACCCAGAAATTAAAAACTGAATTTTTCCAGTTTTCAAAAACCAAATCAAAATGAAATTTTTGTTTCCTTTTGTGGTTTTCCTACATAGAATTGAAAAAATGTACAGGAAAAACCCCTCGCATTTTTCAACCTGATGTAATCATAATCTATTATGGCTATTCTTGTGCAAACAGAACTCCCATCATATGCCAACAAGCCAGGAGTCCCATCTCTCACAAATTACAACCAAGATGACCTGAAGAAGAGCTTTGTGCATCTCAGAAGCCTGTCTCTTTCAGCAACAGAAGTTGGTCCAATAAAAGATATCACCTCCCCCACCTTGTCTCTCTATTACGATCAATGGAAGTCTTGCCACTGACCCTCCTTGACCAATTCAGAAGTTTGGAGGAGCTTCATCTGACAAGTGACAGGGGCTGAGCCCCGGAGGATCTCTCAGTTGAGTGTCCCTCATTTTGGAACTTCCGCGTTCTGCTGGTTGGGTCTACAAGACACCAAGCTTCAGAGCATCACGATTCAGCATGTGGGCCAAGTATCTGATAGAGTGTGTTAAACGTAGGGTGTTTATAAAGTGGTAGGTGGAGGAGTGCCAAAGTATCTGTGGTTGTTGTTATGTCCTGTTAGGCCATGTGAGTTCAGGTTTTGTTTTAATTATATAATTAAGGGGGAGGGACGGAGGGATAGCTTAGTGGTTTGAGCATTGGCCTGCTAAACCCAGGGTTGTGAGTTCAATCCTTGAGGGGGCCATTTACAGATCTGGGGCAAAAATCTGTCTGGGAATCACTCCTGCTTTGAGCAGGGGGTTGGACTAGATGACCTCCTGAGGTCTTCCAACCCTGATATTCTATGATTCTATAATGTGTCCAGATGCTGTTGCAACAGTCATATGAATATCCAAATAAATAATTATTCATTTAAAATATTAATTCTTAAGAATTTGGGGTACTGGAGGAGCCGTAATCCTGAATTCATCCAACTGGTTGGACAGCAGTTCTGCCAACAACTTGCCCTATCATCCTGCCACATCCCCAGACTTAGTACTTTGCCTGGTACTTCCCACGGAGCCAGCGCACAAGCCCTAACCCTCCCCCAGACACTGCAATTTCTTCTGGAGCACAACGTCTTTGGATCAGCCCAAGTGGTTACACACTAAATGCATGAACCCCTTGAAAGGAATGGCCTTAGAAAGTGAATGTCGGCATCAACTGTTAAGCAAATAAGAGGGGGCCCAAAATGATTTTTTTTGTTTTTAAATAACGTGAGGATAGCTGGAAGGCACACGCTCCAAAGCTACCCCAAGATTTTCATTTGAACTGCTCTGTAACCAGGTAACCTCAAAGAAGGTATCGGTAATCTAGAGTAACTCATGAGCATATAGCATAAGGGGTAATTCCCCTAAATCAGATCTATAGAATGGGTGAAATTCACTCCCGGGCAGACACACACACAACACGCACAGGACTTGGCGATGAAAACACGGCATGCTGGCCCACAGCCCAGGGGTCAGTTTCACCAGGGAAACGCCCTTGTATTTTGCAGCGATCGCATGGAGAACTCCCCATGCCATCAAGCTCCTTTTCACAGGTTTCTTACCATCACTCCCCGGCTGTTTGTATGGATTGTACTTTGGCTTTGGAGCAACAACTGGGGCAAATTTCTTTGGCGACTGCTGCGTGGACACAGAGATGCTGGGGGTCCCAAAAGCGTGCGTGGTCTCCATTCTCGCAGTGACGTGTCCGACGGGTTCGTTGGTGTTCTTTGGCGGCAGCCATGATGGGTGGGACATGGTTCAGATCTGGGGAAGGATGAGAAGAAAAAAAAACACCATGCACATTAGGTTTTTAAATTGGGAGAGGGGGAAAAAACCCTAGGAACTTCTTTTTATTTACCTGTAAAATACAAATACACAAAAACCTGTGTGTGTGTGTGTGTGTGAAGGTTTCTCTTTATGGCTTGGCATATGAATTTGCCTATTTATCCCTACAACAGTATGTCAGAGGCAGCAGCTTTGCCCTCTCAGCAAAGAGAGCTAGGATGGAGCTGAATCCCACCCACCCCCCTTACTCTGAGAGGTAGATTCATAGATTCTAGGACTGGAAGGGACCTCGAGAGGTCATCGAGTCCAGTCCCCTGCCCGCATGGCAGGACCAAATACTGTCTAGACCATCCCTGATAGACATATAGATTCATAGATTCTAGGACTGGAGGTAGGCCTCCTCCCCAGATCAAAGGTATGATCAGAGGCGTGCTGGCAGGACAGTGGGGGAGGAATCGGCTCCACCTCCCTTTTGAGTTTCAAACAGGGGTTCTCAGCATGATGGTTGCTTCCAATTCCACAACCCATTCAAATCTTAGCCTCCAGAGTAAGGCTGCCACAAAGCGGGACCACTAATGAAACTGTGCTGATGATTTCCCTGCTGTGAAGGAGGGCTTGGAAAATCTCTGCGTGCCTCAGTAAAATGGGGATAAAACTGCCCTAACTTTGCAAGGATGCTGTGAGGATACATTCCGCAGCGTCAGTGAGGTGCTCAGATACCATGGTGAAGAGTGCCCATACAGACTGATGGGGGCTTTTGAAAATTTCACCTTAAAGAGCCTTACTCCCATATTCAAAGCTCATTCAGGCCCTAAGCAGCCACAATCCCATTGACTTTCAAGGAAACTTCTCAGGTCGACATTTTCAAAAGCAACTGATTTTGGACGCCTCTGTTTTTGGACATCCAACTCAAGACACTGTCAAGCATGCTGATTTTCAGAAAGCGCTGGACACCCACCCTCTGAAAATCAGGCCCCTTCCGGGGGCCTCGACTTGGACACATGAAAACTGAGGCAAACAAAATCACTAGTTATTTATGTAATTCTTGGCTTTAGGCTCCTAAGTCTCTAAATCACTTCTGAAAACCAGATTTAGATGCTTTGAAAAAATTGACTCAGAAACATCCGTCCACTAGGGACTGCACTGAAACCAACCAATGCATTTCCACACAGGCCATCAAACAGCCATCCGATGTCAATGACTTTTAGTCATTATCTATGTAAGATGAATGTGAACAATGGCAAGGCGGTAAAGGCCACATATTCCTTTACTAGTTCCCCTGTGACATCCACTCTCTCAGTACTGAAGGGGTTAATTCATTTTGCATCCACTGCCTGCCTTCACTTCAGCCCCACATACTCTTGTTTAGGTTAGGAGAATTCCACCAGGCAACAAAACCCCAGCAGGCTCGGGAGACTGGATGTGAAGAGGTTTCCTTTGATCAACTAAAGCAGAAAGCATGGGAAGAATCCGCGCAGGAAGACGACGGAGCCAGGGACAACATTATCTGATCACTGTTGTGAAAAAACACCTCCAGCTGTGAACGGCGAGACAACCGAGTCTCTGGCAGGATTTGCAGAGAGAGCTGCTCTCCCATCGCATTCCGACGGGGCAGTTCTAGCTCCCGCAGATGAATGTATTAATTGGTGAGAACTGTCCGCGGAGCGCGGGGGAGTGAATGCTGCCAGGTGTGCAAGCCCGTAGAGAGAAATGATTACTGAACTCTGCAGGGCTGCGGCGCTCTCACCACTCTGACACAGCTCTGCGGTCGCACGCACAGAAATCCATGTGAATGTCTCTCACGGAGAGGTTTTCCTAAGCCAGGAGTGGCCATCACAAATCACCTGTTGGAGGTCAGCAGCTGGAATCTGAAGGAAAATGGGCAGCTGCTTCTGCCATCTACCACCGCCGCTGGAGACCAAACATCTCCTCACGGACTCCGCTGTAGAGCCCAGCTGCCGTACCCCACGCCCTGCCGACACAGGCACATTCTTGGCGCTGCGAAGTAAAAACTTCCGTCACATGCCCCTCACATTCCGCACATGGATGCACATGGCTCTAAGGAAATGTTTCAGCAGCATGGTGATACACCTGGACACACACTGAAGCCTGTCCTAACTTGATCATCTAGACTTCACTCTTCAGAATATACTTCTAAAGATTAGTATAATGGGGACCAGGTGTGCCAAGCTTTAGGACCCTGAGTGCGGGGGAATGCAGAGTTACTTTGCTGACTCACCACGGCAGGCAGAACAGCTGCATCTCACTATTTCCCCCGAGAAGCATAAAAAGCAGAGTCCACCTAAGAGGCAATAGGTGATAGAGGGGGGAGTCCTAAAAATACAGCACAGGAAGAAGCCCAGGCTTGTCCTGTGTTTGTAAGCACAGTCCAACCTCAGGGAGTTGCTATTTGAGAATACATGTGTTTTTGCAGTGTTGGGCAATAGAAGGGGGACCGGCCTATTCACACCAGTGCCTTTCTAAAATTAACTTAGCAATTAGAATTGTATTTATTACGGTTATGGATTATTTATTCCAGACAGCAACAACTCCCTGTGTGAGGAGTTAATTCCACTGAGAGACTGGTTGGCCAGGATAATCTTGTGATCAAAGCACAGGGTAGAGTTGGGGATCTAGGTTCTACCCCTGCCTCTACCATAAACCCCCTGTGGGACCTGCACCAATCCATTTCACTGCTGTGTGCCTCATTTTCCACATCCTGGATCTAAATGTTCAGTCCATAGTTTCCCTCCCAGCCAAGGGCTCGCACCCAACTTAATCCAGCCAACACAGAAATCGCCCCCAATAAGAGGAGACCCACCACTGATGGAGAAATAAAACATCACAGGCCGGCTGGTGCTGCGGACCTGGCAGGAACTACGCAGTTCTAAAAGAAGATAGCCGTAGCGCCGCAGGTGCCTCTGAACTGGACTCTGAATGTTATGCTCCCTAGTGGAGCTGCTGAGATGCCGCACGCAACACAATTCACACCAGCAACAACTCTCCGGGGCAGAGCCCCAGCGAACCAGGTGACCGCCCTCCACCCCCTGCTTCTTGGTCTCATCTTACCAGATGACAAATGGAAGGCAGGTCCACCCGCGAGGCCAGAGAGGAAATCCCACTCACCGCTCCTCGCTATCCTGCTACCTGCTGTTCCCAGCGCCGGGGTTTACGGAACCAGAAACAAGTTCTCACCGAAACAAAGATGATCCCCCTCCTCTTCCCACATCCCCCCCATCTCCAGATCAGAGCGATCAAAGCACGCTAACAGCCTGCGTGCAAAGAAGGGACAGCAGTGCAGCCCCTCGGCCAGGAGGGCTAATCAACCGCACTGCGCACTGTTGAAGGTGCCCTGGAGTTTAATTCCAACTGGGCTGGGCGGGGAATGCTCAGCATTTACATGGCATCTGGAATATGGCACATCCCAGAGCACAGCGCCCCCTAGCACCACACTGAGGCATTATCTCACTACAGACGCCGCAACAAGTGTACCCACAAAGCTGTTCAAGCTACTTCCTACAACGCCTGATTCGTCTCCCACCCACACAGTGACATGACCCAAGGAGCCTATGCCATCTGAGAGATTCACAACACGACGTAGCATGGGCTGAAGGGCCAAATTAGTAATGCCAATCTCAGCAGCAGCGAGTGCAGTGGGCTGAGCAAAACAGCGACGGAACCTTGCAATTAATGAGCCTCAAGACTAGAACATATTAATGGCCAATTTGGGAACACAGCGACCGCACTGGTGTATCTCAGCCACTCGTTCTGAGCCTGTGCGTGACCCTGGCTCTCCTAGTCTCGAAAGTATTTTTCTGATATTTTTATTATTTCCCTTTTAGTCTTTTCTGTTCCTCCTTTGTCCTCGCTCATCTTCTCCTGTGTATTTTTTTCTCTCCTCTCGATCTATGCCAGTTAAGATGTCCCAAACAAGTTCCCTTTTCCCAGCTCCAGTACTTAGATTGACTTACCGTGGTGTCTTCACCGCAGTGAGTCGACTGCTGCCGCTCCCCCGTCGACCCTGTTTGCACCTCTCGCGGCACTGGAGTACAGGAGTCAACGGGAGAAGGCTCGGGGGTCGATTTATCACGTCTAGACTAGACGCGATAAATCAATCCCCGCTGGATCGATCACTGCCCGCCGATCCGGCGGGTAGTGTAGACATACCCTAAGACAAGCAAAATTCATCCACTCACGTTGCAAGTCTCACAAAATACAAAAAGGAAAATGATTGACTCAGCAGCTAAAACCAAACTTTGCTTTTTTAAAATGCACATGTTAGTGTGACCGGTTAAATGGGCAACAAGAGGACAGGTGCAGTGCAGGATAAGCGGACAGCCCCACCTCTCCCTCAGTGCTTCTCAATCTTGACCTATAAAACTTCTACTAGTCCAGGTACAGCCCCTACGTGAACACTGTAGATGCACCGCAATCCTACTCTGCCACACCCTGCCAATGGTGTCAACCACGCAGTCATTTCACAATGGAGACCAAAAACAAAAATGGCACCACTGGGGCTTATAACTTAATGCTGATAATGTAAACCCCACCAAATCCATAACCCTAACCAAATGTGAGTTGGATCAGCCCATTAAGCCCACCATCGCATCTCGTGAACATGAAACTAAGTCCTACATTCAGCTCAGACCTTCTCACACCTACTCACCAGATCAGATTTTTTTTCCCAGCAAGTGAGAATATACACCCCGAAAAATCCGAGATTAGCATCAATGCCTAACTATGAGGTTAGCGATTCATGCTTCCTACAGATGCATCTCCAAACACTTCACTGAATTAGTAATAGTTACAGAAGTGATTTTTTGCCTGCTTTAGTTTTATGCAAACTGCACGTTTTTTAATAGCTCAATAATAGGTAGGTGCAGGACTTCACAAGGGGATAGAGAAATCAGTGGTGAAAGAAATGAGACACTAAGAGGAGGAGAGAGAGGGGGCCCCATGTATGACAAGAGAGAGGAGGT